AGACCCTAGTGATTCCTTTGAGGAAACTGAAGTCGTTCAGGGTTGAAACCTCCATAAGAGAATCAGTTAAGATCGTAGATTGAGAGAGAGTCAAAGTACGAAACAAGGACACGTCCCGATAGTGAGAATTCGCTAGAACGCCAAGTAGAGACCTGATTCAACTTGAGAAAGTGAAGATCCGAGGTAACAAATCCATTCGTGTCCCATTCCAAATTCATGAACTATACCTTATTCTTTGAATTTCGGGACGAAATTCCCTCTAACGGGGGGATAATGTAACAACCCGAAGTTGTTCATCGCCAAAACCCGTTCTACCCGAAAATTCCGCCGTTATCAAATTCGTTCCGTTTTCACTTTGGGTTAAATTATTTAGAAACTTATATGTTTATTATAATTTAATGAGTGTCTAAACCCTTAGGAACTCATTTAATTAGCCCAAAATATTTATTTCATAAGTTTTAGAAACGCTCCCGCCGGGTGATGGAAACTTAATCGGGTGCGACTTAAAGCCTCGTTTAATGCCGGTATCGGGTAGAATTCCACTGTATCCAAGTTTTAGGACCTATATAAACGTGTTTAAGCACTCATTTGAAGCTTTTTCTTCCTCTCTCTACTCTCTCTCTAACCTCTCTCCTAAATCCAAGATTAAGGGTCCAAAACTCAAATTTAAGGCCTCAAATCTCTAAGGTACTTTCCCTAGCTTGTTATGTAACCTTCTTAACCTTCAAATTCGAGTTCAAAGCATGTATTAAGACATTATTCATAAGTTTACAGCCCTGGAACCCTCTTAGGTCGTAAACTCATATATAAATGGATTTTGGAGCACAAAAACCCTTCCTAAACACAATTGGACCTTGGATATGGCTAGATGGCTTCATGGAATGGACATATAACATTTAAAACATGGATTTTGAGGCATTTGAAGGAGTTTACGGCCAAGGCACATGCTTGGGCCGTAAACTCATGTATAAGGGGTTTTCATGACCTTAAACCTTCCAAAACCTCAACAAGACCTGGATATGATTTCTAGAATAAGTGTTTTAGCCTTGGAACACTTTAAACATGATTTTTGGGGGACTTATATGAGTTTACGGCCAAGGATTATGCTTGGGCCGTAAACTCCATGAAACATGGTGCAAATTCATTTCTAAGGTGTTAGAAAGCCATCCAACATCACCAAAAGCCTTGGAATAAATCATAGGACCAACCAAAAATAGTTTAAGGGCCTTAAACACATCAAAGACCTTTCATTTAAGAGTTTACAGCCATAGCTAGTGTCCCATGGCCGTAAACTCCAAAAGGTGTGTCATAATGTGTCCCAAATTCATTTCAAGGCTTTAAGGGAATTTTAGAAGTCCTTTCAAACAAGTTTTTAACTTTAAAACACATGGAATCACTCTCTAAGAGAGTTTACGGCCATGAGAGGGGTCTCATAGGCCGTAAAATCCAAAAACCTCTTCAAAACATCAAAGAAAATGCATATAAGGCCTTGGGATAAATTTACCAATCACATGTGATTTGTTTTGGAACCAATAAACACCATTTTCATGAGTATTAAGGAGTTTACGGCCAGGAGCCTATGTTAGGCCGTAAACTCCCATAAATATGTCATTTTGATGATTTAAATCCATTCCAAGCCTTTAAATCCAAACCTAGAAAAATGTCCTTAAGTGTTACAAGCCATTTTGTGCCATATCTCACCCCACCATGAGTTTACGGTCGTAAACTCATGGGTAGAGGGTCTTGTGGCCATAAACTCCCTAAGGAGTGTTCCTTTGATGTCCCAATTCAATATCCTAACTATATGTGTCCCTAAATGACACCCGGGTCCCTCCAAACACTTGTATCAGAGTGTTTTCACGACTAGAAGCAATTATCCCTATCAAATAATCAATCTAAGTCCTAACTAGATACAAATGTGTATCTGTACATTATACTTAGGAACCTTGTGTATTTGCAAGCCCCGGATCAACTCTTAACATCCAAATCGTCACATTTCTCGTCCGGTGAGTTCATACCCCTACGCATTTTTCCGTGTTTTTCAATGTTTTCAGGGGGGAATACAAGCAAACTATAACTGTTTTCAAATCATAACATTGATGTGTTTCAGATAATATCAGACAAACTTATAAACTCTTTTACTCCTTATGTATTATGTTCAGCATAAGGAATGATTTATCAACTACAACTAAATGAATTTTAGTTAAGGAAATAACCAAACTTATCAAATTATTATGGGAATAATTTGGGGTTCTTTACTGTTCGTTCTATGATATACTGATGTCTATATAAAGTTATTAGATAAACTATGTCTTATTCAGTTTATCTCCGTATTATTTGAATGTATTTTCAGATAGTTTCATTGTATGTATCTGTATTCGCTGTACTACGTTTATAATCCTCTGTATGTTGATACCGTATGAGAACCCTTGTGAATAGTTTAGTACTAGTTTGTGAAATAGTCACTACCCTTTATGGATGATCAGTAAATCCTCCTCGAAGTGTAACCAGAGTCTCCTGGAGGGAGAGCGAGGAATTTGTGAATAGATCTATTCGGGACTGACAATCCACACCTTAACTGTTAGCTACAGTTAGGCGGGCACGCCTGGGGTGACAAATTTCTGGATATCATTCGACGTCTGACTAGCGTCAAGGAGGTCTCGTTGTCGTATTAGCATGGTTACCCGACTCACAACATGTATTAATATTAGTTTATTCACAGCTTGGGTTTTAGAATCTATATCTCGTTTGGGATAGTGATCCCATGGTTTTATCAAACTATTTTGTATCTAGTCCGGGATAGTGATCCATGGTTTTCAAATATAATTCTTAGTATATCAAACTATCTTGTAATTAGTTCGGGATGTTAGTCAAGGTTATCAAACTACTTTCTATCTATAATGTGTATATTATGGTATTTCATATCTAATTCGGGATGTTTGCCCTATGGTTTTTAACTATATCTTATACGGGATAGCAATCCCATGGTTTAAACCTATACTTGTCGGGGATAGTGATCCATGGTTTTCAATCTATATATATTTCGGGATAGAAATCCCATGATTTCGAATCTATCAAGTACGGATGATAATCCCATGGTCTAAATCTATATTTTGTTCGGGATAGTATTCCCATGGTTCCCAATCTATATTTTCATATATATCAAATATCTTGTGTCTAGTCCGGGATGGTAGTCCCATGATCTTAAATCTGTATTTTCATATGTGTCAAACTTCTTATATCGATTTCGGAGATAGTGATCCCAAGATTTTCAAAATATAGTTTTGTGTATTAAACTATACTTTGTGATATTCAACTGGTCTTACAATTAGGAAAATATGGGATTTTCCTGGGGTAAAATACAACACGTAATCGAATTGGTAATAGATGATAACTAAACTAACTTTACATAAGAAAATATGGGATTTTCTTGGATAACAAACCATTTTCGGAAACTAAATGAAACCGATACATTTTCATAAAACAAAACCGCTTATGAACTAACCAGCTTTATGCTGATTTTCAAACCGCTTGTATTCTCAGGTCCAAGTTAGAAGGTACCCGGTGATCTCTTTTGGTGAAGACGGAGTGCATGGAAGACTCGCCTCAACTTTGTTAATATGATGCATATGTATATCTTGTATAACTTTACTTTTGAAACAAATGTAAACTTTCATATATATGTAATGTAATGGTTGTTTACTGATTACTATGTACATTGGATTTGATACACAACGTGGAGTCCACCCCGGAAATGTTTCCGCCTTTGATTTTCGGGGTGTGACAGATTGGTATCAGAGCCTTGTTTATAGTGAACGGAGTATACCAAACCTTACATGGTATAAAACTATAAACACTAAAGGGCCTCAGTGCTCTGAATTAAAAGTATCTTCAAACTATAAGTATTTTCAAAAGTATACAAGTATACCAAACCGTCGAAATCCGTAACTACAAGTAGAACAAAACATAAGTAAATGGGTGTTGTACACTGCGGTTAAACCTGGGCAGTTATGTAGTCGTGTCTAGGGTCAATATAGCCTGGCCAACTATATTCATTCGAGACACCGCCAACATGTGCTTGGGAGTACTATGGTACGCAGCATGCCTAAAACTACCCAATATCTCAAACAACGAGTCGTCACTGCAGCGAACCATGAAATACTATGGGAGTATTTCTCGAGCCAATCCTTCGTAGAAAGTCCTCGTATACGCGTTGTTCCTTTACCATTCCTCTAGCGATAAAATGTTTCTCTTGATACTCTTTCCTGCTTTATCTCTTAGTATAATGCTATATCTGTCTTGATGAGATATCCCCTGTTCCATATCTCTTGATTCAATTCAGAGGATTTATGATCTCTCTTTCCTGATCTTTCTAGATCAAGATGCCTCCAAGAAAGAGACCCAACTCGAAGAACAATGACAATCCTCCTCTGCCACCACCTTCTCCTCAATTTGATCTCGCATCACTTCAAACAGTTCTGACTGCTGCAATGGTGGCAGCCATGTCACAAATGAATCCCGGTGGCTCCGAGGTGGTCCCACCCCAAAATCCAGAAGACAGCCAGGAAGTAGCCAGGAAACCCGAAGAGGGGGTTCCTATAAAGACTTCATGAACGCGAAGCCCACAACCTTCGATGGCACTGGAGGTGTCATTTCCCTGACCCGATGGTTCGACAAATCGAATCAATATTCGAAATATGTGCCTGTTCGAAGACTGACAAAGT